AGAAGCTTACAATGGCTAATCGCCTACGCGGCATTACCAGTGAACCAATGGCTACACACGAGGCGTAAAAGTTCAGATCCCAACAGCTCAGACTTGTGCATGGTTTATACTGAAGGGACGGTAGAAGACATAGTTCACTACCTAATACATTGTAGAGAGGCGACAGACTACTGGGCAAGAGCCTCGACACTCTGGGACTCCCTATTCCCAACCCCCTTCCCCAAACATCCCATCCAACTTATCCTCTTGACTAACATGATCCCGCAACAGCTCCAGAAGGCAGAAAAATTCTGGTCTGGACTCATCAGAAAGGTTACATTATGGGTCATATGGAAAGAAAGATGCAGCAGAACGATTGAAGGACTGTCCAGCCCATACGAGAAAGTTTGGGTGGAGACGAAAATGATGACACAAGCCGAAGTCATCTGCAAATGGAGGAAGACCAAACAGTCATGGACGGGAGGACGAGGAACGACGAAAGAAGGAGAGATGGACCTTCAGCAAGAACTGGTTGATAGACGGCAAAGATTGCAGAGTTACGAGAAGACCGCATTTACTGGAAAGAGTGGCACAACTCAACCCCAGGAAGGATTCACCAGCAACAGATAACTGCGGATGGACAAGGCATTCCATGATCAGACATCCAAGAGGGGGAATAAGACGAAAGTAAGGGTGTCATAGAGCAGGATAGTAATCGAGGGTTTAGGGATTAAGGGTTTAAGGGATTCTTAGAGAGGGTAGAGAAATTTCGGGCAGGGGTCAGGGTGGCTCTCGGGTAAGGATGGATAAAAGAAGGTCCAAGGGACAGACACGACAACCGGGCAAACTCTTTCTAGGAATTTAGAACTATCTGACAACCCTAGCCACTAGGTCTGAGAGAAGACTTCCCCTACCAGACGAGGACGAGCAACAGCGCACAAGTACAGTTGAAGTTACCAAGACCTGGCCTGATTGAAGGAAAGTTGCAGAGACAAAGAATTCTTATGTACGGTGGAAGGACGAGCACAACTCGCAAGATGCTAAGAGAGGACCAAGATACCTCACGCTTAATGGAGTAGTCCTGATACAGACAACAGTGTCCTATGCTGAGCAACAAGGGTATTAGGCGGGAACTTCAGAGATGAAGGAGAGTCAGATTTCTGGTCGGAGGCAGATCCTACCACTTTCTCTCGCTTCGAATAGGTCTATTTGACAGGCCCAAGAAGGGAACCTGAGAGGAGCAAGTTTTTAGGGCAAGCTGACAATCAATCCTCCCTCAAGGGAGCAATCAATGCTGGTCAGGGGTCCTTCAGCCATATGGAAGGAAGCGTGAGCGTGTTTCATGATGCAATATTTTATTCTGACTTGCCGGGGGAATAGGAACCGGACTGATGCTCCCCAGAATGGAAAAGGAGCCAGGCCCATAAGGACCGTTTTTTGTTAAAAAAACAAAAAAAACAAACAAGTTCAGAATGTGGCCGCGTTTGCTGTAGGATGCATTCTGTAGAGGAAGACTGTGAGCACGGCCTCTTAGACTACCCTGCCAGACTTCATTGCAGTACATAGCTTTTTTTTTTTTTCCTTTTCCTTTCACACGCCGGCCAAAAAAAACTAAGATTTATGAGACTCGCCAACTATGGGTCCGGCCACCGATTTCTTCGGGGACAGACCATTACATTGTGATTTCCCAACACTGGCAGAGGTACTGGTGGTTTATGCAGAAAAATAAACTACACAACTTTTGCCTCAGGGTACATAGCATCTGAGAATGATCTGAGAATAGAATGAGATAGAAGTAAAGGCTACAACTTGGTTTGAAGATTCCTCATTTGCTTAGGTTTGTAGACTTCTCAGTTGGTGGGATTCTGTGACTCCTGATAGGGACTTGGCCGGTGATGCCTCGCTCTAATTGGGAGCCGACTGTACATATGTGAGGGACGCCGGACCCGTTTCCCGGCTTGTATAAAAGTTTTGGGACAAAAAAAGATAAAATAAATATTTAAGAAGGTTGGGAAACTTCTCTTGTCGCATAGGCAGGTAGGGGGGGATTGCGGACAGTATATTGCCCAAGCCAGGGAGGTCAAGAGTGAGAGGGAGGCGTTCATCCCACTCAGCGTTATGATTTTCTTTGTGACATGAGGTGTTTTACCACCAGTTTTCGGTAATGTGTGTTGTATGGAGAGAGAGAGAGAGAGAGAGAGAGAGAGAGAGAGAGAGAGAGAGAGAGAGAGAGAGAGAGAGGTTCAGAGTAGTTGGTTGAAAAGAGACTTCGGTATGCATGGTAAACTGTATCCGGAGGAAGATTGGATGGCTCGACATGGTGAACGGCTGTGGGTGCAGTGCAGCCGGCCTTGTATATGTCTGTCACCGTTTGTGTGGTGAGTGTAAGTGAACTCCAGGCCTGGAATTTTGGGTCCCAAAAAAAAAAAAAAAAAAACTTTCTTATCTTCTTGTTTTTTGTTTTGGGCCCGGTTGGGCAAAAGGTCCCGGGCCACTCTGGTAGGCTAGAATTTTTTTTTTTTTCACTTTGGATCTCTAGTTACTTAATTGATTGACTGATTGATTGATCATTGACTGATTATTGAAACAACGGTGGGTGCGGCATGTTTTGGGTTTGCAAAATCAGAAAAAACAGGCATCGACAACTTTGTCGTGGCCTGAGTTCGAAAAGGCGGTTGTAACTCAGGCTGGCAGTGGTGTCAGGGTGGCAGTTTTGTTAAGGCGGTTGTGCTTTTTTTTTTTTTTT